GTTCTGGGGAAAGCTTTCTCTTGTAGGTGGAGACAGAACAGACACAACGAGAAGCCAGAACCATTAAGCACAAATAAAATTGTGCTTAAGGCCTTTCCACATCTCTCAGACCCGAGGCAGGCAGGGCAGAGCCCTTCAGTGCCAATGGGAGTGCCCAGCCCCTCTGGGGCTGTTTTCCAAGATCCTCTTGCCAAAGACTGCCAAGAACAGTTTGTTTTGCCTGATTCCCCAGTCAGAACACATGACTACGGTCTGTTCCCTATCATTGCCTCCAATCCTGCCCTGGGAATGCTGGTCTAGTGCAAGCTCACCATTCCCTCTCCCTGTGCCATGGCACACTCCCATCTCCTGTCTGGGGGAGCCGCTGGGCTTCAGCTTCTATTACTGATAAGTTCAGATGTCACTGATTTGTCATTCTGTTACGCTCCAGAAGATGAGCACAAGGGCTGATCTCATGCTGATGAAAATATTTCCAGCTGAAACACTGAGCTGTTGTAGCTCCAGCTCCAGGCTGACAAGCAGCACATTGTCATTATCATTCAGCAAAACCAGCTGCACAAGCTGCCCCGTGTCTGTGTCCTTCCTTTTGCATCAGATTTGCCAGAGCCCCCAAATTGAAATATGAACATTGAGCCGACAAATATTGGTTGACATCAGCAAATTACATGGATAATAATGGCTTGTCCCTTCTTGCAGTGATGGCATATTTAAAGGAAAGCCTGGAAGGAACATTCCTTACCTTGACTCCATGAATCAGGCCATTCATCAGGAACGTGTGCTGAGGAAAAGTTTGGTGTAACACCTGGGGGAAAAGAAACCAAAACCTAAAGGCAAAAGTCAGAGCTGGCAACTGTGGCAAAATTTCCTTAAGCACCTGACAGCCAAGAGGCCTGGAAGGGAACAATCCAGGGAAAAGGGGAAATACCCTACAAACCATGCCTCTATGTGAGGAGCTCTGGCTGCCCTCTCCAGCACAGGCAATCACTGTCCTTAACACTTTCCAGGTCTATAAATTGTTCCAGCATGTTTGGGTGAGGCTAAGAGAGCCTGATATGCGCCTTAATCCATCCATACCCCACCCGAGTCCCCTCTGGTTTTACTTCACATCACCACATCACCTCTCTGTAGTTCTCTTTGTGCTGTCTGTAGGTTTGATTCACATTTTATATTGCCAGGCTAATACTGTGTCTAAATGTTTCTGCACAACCAAAGACTCCTTTTCCGCAGTTCCCCATGGAAAAGCATGTGCTGAGACCTCAGGAGCCCCAGGAGAGCTCCCAAGGCAGTGCTGTCCCAAGGAGACGTGGTGCTCACCGTCAGCATCGGTGTGGTCAGCAGCCCCCAGGCAAAGAACTCCAGGAAAATCACCACCACAGCGTGGTACACGCTGGGGTCCCCAATCCCCTGTCGCTGCAAAACAGAGCACCTTAAGTCAAAAACCTTTCAGCGGCCACGTCCTCCCCGAAAGGAGCATCTCAGAGAGCTCACACAGGGGTCTGAGAGCGAGAGACACAGTCCTGCTGAAACGCTGTTTCTGTTCACAGACCCC